GGGGAGGGCAGTTGTCCCTCCTGCCCCCTGTCTCGTACGCCTATGTAGATTATGCAGCAAGAAATGGGGGGGGGGGATCGTTTGCATTGCTTTAATTTCATTAGTAAAAGTTAAAAATAAGTTATTCGAGATTAGATATTTGACCAGCTTAATCGGTCGGTCACATGTTCGGTTATAAGAAATTTTCATTGGGGAAATTTGGCTGGATAATGTCCGATGACCAACACTAATTTACAGGCCTGTAAAAGGAAGAGTAGATTGAAGTGAGATTGTGTTCCCTTATTCAGATGGCCATCCAAGTGTGTTCTCCCAGCCAGAAGGTGATCGAAATCGTGCCGCACCCCAACCACGCCCTTATACGGTTACATCAAGTGTCCGCACCGCCAAACCCCCCGTCCAGGCACCTATGAATACGAAGGAACCACCCCCCTGCCCACCTGGAGTAAAACCCATGCAAGTATTACCGTCCGAAGTCAACTTTACTCGACCATCTGATGCGGCTAGGGCGGCCTATGTCGAACGACGTCAAGCTAGTCCCCAGCCCACCAGTCCAGGGCCTCCGCCACCTGCGCCTGCGTTCCAGTCATACCGACCAGTGGCTGTATCAGCACCTAAACCAAAACCTGCCAGTCCAAGTACAGGCAACTCACAACTGCCTTATTGTCATGGCTGTGGACAAGTTATACAGTGAGTGTTCGAGTTTTTCATCAGCAATTACATATTAATTTTAGTTTTTGTTTACAACCACAGCAGCTTATTGCAGAAAACTACCTACACTAGACCACCACGTCTGAGAGATTTCAATTTCAGGTAGTTCAGACACAACTACGGCGGCTTATTGTAGAAAACTACTTGCACTGGACCACCACGTTTGAGATATCTTTTTCAGGTAGTTCAGACACAAACCACGACAGCTTATTGTGGAATACGACCTACATTGGAGTACTGGACCACCACGGTTGATCATGAGATATCTTTTTCAGGTTGTTCAGACACAAACCAGGGCAGCTTATTGTAGAATATTACCTGCACTGGACCACCACGTTTGAGATATGTTTTCAGGTAGCTCAGACACAAACCACAGCAGATTATTGCTGACGCAGCGAGAGAGCCTGAAGCGAGCGAGCAAGGCAGCAGATCCTAATTTTGTTTTGTGGGTCGAAATCAAAATTTTCTATTTGGCGCATTGCATGACGGTACCAGTGAATTTTAACCGTGGTGCAGCGCGGTCAGGCATAAGGCAAACAGGCGATGTGATCATCTTTCATCTTTGGTCTTCTTTTATGGAAAGCCATAGCTGGCTTAGAGTGATCAAACGGCATTTTGTTGTGTGCTTTTAGCATTATACGGCGGTGCTTTCGCCATTATACAAGGTGCTTTCGCCATTATACGCGGTGGTTCCAGTATTATACGCGGTGCTTTCGCCATTTATATACGCGGTGCTTTTGCAATTATACGCAGTGGTTCGAGCACTAATAATATGCGGCGCTTTTATTTTTAATATTATACGCGATGATTTAACGATTGCTTAAATTTGGTATGTGGTTGACAAATGCTTTTTGCCTATGGTCTGCATGGACAATGACATGCTTTTCTGTGTATATAAATGAATATAACGCAGCGAATGCGCCAAACAGTATAAACGCGGCTGAAATACGATATTAAAATCTTAAATGTGTCGTATGATTTTTTAATTATGTTTTAGAATTTACAAATGCTTTGTTATTTGTATTTGTACTTGTACTGCATCACAAGGCAGTACGTAAGTGAAAAAATTCCACATGTGAGATTGTCTTGTATACATTTTTGCTTTCTTTGAAAATTTCATCATCTTTCAAATTTTCCAACTAATTGGCCGCTTTTGAAAATGTTGATCATGACGAACCGCACTGCCTTAATTTAATGATGCAAACTTTGTGTTTTAAAAACGGGTTAGGATAAAACGCGGATACGGACGGACGGATGGCGACGGATGGACCGGACGGATGACATATATATGTCATTATATAGTCTGCGCGCAGCCGCGCAGGGTAGTTAGTGGCTTACGTCTTCGCTGGTTATACTTTAAAATAATTTTGTATATGAAATTTTTTTTCTGTGTTGGTGTAGTGTACTCAGGTGAATATGATATTTGTGGTGTTACTCTGAGTGTATATCCACACCGGGCGAGCTTGAAAAATATGCCCGGCCACGGTGGGATTCGAACCTACGACCTTTGGAATACTAGCCCAATGCTCTTCCAACTGAGCTACGCGGTCAAGACGGTTCGAGTAAGTGATATTTCGGAACAGAATCTAGTTCCTTCGATACCAATGTATTCTAGTAATATGAATTTTTTTATTTCTTTCTGTGTTGGTGTAGTGTACTCAGGTGAATATGATATTTGTGGTGTTACTCTGAGTGTATATCCACACCGGGCGAGCTTGAAAAATATGCTCGGCCACGGTGGGATTCGAACCTACGACCTTTGGAATACTAGCCCAATGCTCTTCCAACTGAGCTACGCGGTCAGGACGGTTCGAGTAAGTGATATTTCGGAACAGAATCTAGTTCCTTCGATACCAATGTATTCTAGTCATATGTTTTTTTTTGTGTTGGTGTAGTGTACTCGGGTGAATATGATATTTGTGGTGTTACTCTGAGTGCATATCCACACCGGGCGAGCTTGAAAAATATGCCCGGCCACAGTGGGATTCGAACCTACGACCTTTGGAATACTAGCCCAATGCTCTTCGAACTGAGCTACGCGGTCAGGACGGTTTGAGTAAGTGATATTTCGGAACAGTATCTGGTTCCTTCAATACCAATATCTTCTAGTAATATGAATTTTTTTTTTCTCTGTGTTGGTGTGGTGTACTCAGGTGAATAATATGTTTGCCATGTTACTCTGAGTGCATATCCACACCGGGCGAGCTTGAAAATATGCCCGGCCACGGTGGGATTCGAACCTACGACCTTTGGAATACTAGCCCAATGCTCTTCCAACTGAGCTACGCGGTGAGGACAGTTCGAGTAAGTGATATTTCGGAACAGTATCTAGTTCTTTCAATACCAATATGTTTTAGTAATATGAATTTTTTTTCTCTGTGTTGGTGTTGTGTACTCAGGTGAATAATATGTTTGCGATGTTACTCAGAGTGCATATCCACACCGGGCGAGCTTGAAAAATATGCCCGGCGACGGTGGGATTCGAACCTACAACCTTTGGAATACTAGCCCAATGCTCTTCCAACTGAGCTACGCAGTCAGGACGGTTCGAGTAAGTGATATTTCGGAACAGTATCTGGTTCCTTCAATACCAATATCTTCTAGTAATATGAATTTCTTTTTTCTCTGTGTTGGTGTTGTGTACTCAGGTGAATAATATGTTTGCATGTTACTCTGAGTGCATATCCACACCGGGCGAGCTTGAAAATATGCCCGGCCACGGTGGGATTCGAACCTACGACCTTTGGAATACCAGCCCAATGCTCTTCCAACTGAGCTACGCGGTCAGGACGGTTCGAGTAAGTGATATTTCGGAACAGTATCTAGTTCCTTCAATACCAATATGTTCTAGTAATATGAATTTTTTTTTCTGTGTTGGTGTTGTGTACTCAGGTGAATAATATGTTTGCGATGTTACTCTGAGTGCATATCCACACCGGGCGACCTTCAAAAATATGCCCGGCCTCGGTAGGATTCGAACCTCGACCTTTGGAATACTAGCCCAATGCTCTTCCAACTGAGCTACGCGGTCAGGACGGTTCGAGTAAGTGATATTTCGGCACAGTATCTAGTTCCTTCAATACCAATATGTTCTAGTAATATGAATTTTTTTCTTCTCTGTGTTGGTGTTCTGTACTCAGGTGAATAATATGTTTGCCATGTTACTCTGAGTGCATATCCACACCGGGCGAGCTTGAAAAATATGCCCGGCCATGGTGGGATTCGAACCTACGACCTTTGCAATACTAGCCCAATGCTCTTCCAACTGAGCTACACGGTGAGGACGGTTCGAGTAAGTGATATTTCGGAACAGTATCTAGTTCTTTCAATACCAATATGTTCTAGTAATATGAAGTTTTTTTTCTCTGTGTTGGTGTTGTGTACTCAGGTGAATAATATGTTTGCGATGTTACTCTAAGTGGATATCCACACCGGCCGAGCTTGAAAAATATGCCCGACCACGGTAGGATTCGAACCTACGACCTTTGGAATACTAGCCCAATGCTCTTCCAACTGAGCTACGCGGTCAGGACGGTTCGAGTAAGTGATATTTCGGAACAGTATCTGGTTCCTTCAATACCAATATGTTCTAGTAATATGAATTTTTTTTTCTCTGTGTTGGTTTTGTGTACTCAGGTGAATAATATGTTTGCCATGTTACTCTGAGTGCATATCCACACCGGGCGAGCTTGAAAAATATGCCCGGCCACGGTGGGATTCGAACCTACGAGCTTTGGAATACTAGCCCAATGCTCTTCCAACTGAGCTACGCGGTCAGGACGGTTCGAGTAAGTGATATTTCGGCACAGTATCTAGTTCCTTCAATACCAATATGTTCTGGTAATATGAATTTTTTTTTTCTGTGTTAGTGTTGTGTACTCAGGTGAATAATATGTTTGCGATGTTACTCTGAGTGCATATCCACACCGGGCGAGCTTGAAAAATATGCCCGGCCACGGTGGGATTCGAACCTACGACCTTTGGAATACTAGCCCAATGCTCTTCCAACTGAGCTACGCAGTCAGGACGGTTCGAGTAAGTGATATTTCGGAACAGTATCTAGTTCCTTCAATACCAATATCTTCTAGTAATATGAATTTTTTTTTTCTGTGTTGGTGTTGTGTACTCAGGTGAATAATATGTTTGCGCTGTTACTCTGAGTGCATATCCACACCGGGCGAGCTTGAAAAATATGCCCGGCCACGGTAGGATTCGAACCTACGACCTTTGGAATACTAGCCCAATGCTCTTCCAACTGAGCTACGCGGTCAGGACGGTTCGAGTAAGTGATATTTCGGAACAGTATCTAGTTCCTTCAATACCAATGTGTTCTAGTAATATGAATTTTTCTGTGTTGGTGTTGTGTACTCAGGTGAATAATATGTTTGCGATGTTACTCTGAGCGCATATCCACACCGGGCGAGCTTGAAAAATATGCCCGGTCACGGTAGGATTCGAACCTACGACCTTTGGAATACTAGCCCAATGCTCTTCCAGCTGAGCTACGCGGTCAGGACCGTTCGAGTAAGTGATATTTCGGAACAGTATCTAGTTCCTTCAATACCAATTTGTTGTAGTAATATGAATTTCTCTGTGTTGGTGTTGTGTACTCAGGTGAATAATATGTTTGCGATGTTACTCTGAGTGCATATCCACACCGGGCGAGCTTGAAAAATATGCCCGGCCACGGTGGGATTCGAACCTACGACCTTTGGAATACTAGCCCAATGCTCTTCCGACTGAGCTTCGCGGTCAGGACGGTTCGAGTAAGTGATATTTCGGAACAGTATCTAGTTCCTTCAATACCAATGTGTTCTAGTAATATGAATTTTTTCTGTGTTGGTGTTGTGTACTCAGGTGAATTTAATATGTTTGCGATGTTACTCTGAGTGCATATCCACACCAGGCGAGCTTGAAAAATATGCCCGGTCACGGTGGGATTCGAACCTACGAGCTTTGGAATACTAGCCCAATGCTCTTCCAGCTGAGCTACGCGGTCAGGACCGTTCGAATAAGTGATATTTCGGAACAGTATCTAGTTCCTTCAATACCAATGTGCTCTAGTAATATGAATTTTTCTGTGTTGGTGTTGTGTACTCAGGTGAATAATATGTTTGCGATGTTACTCTGAGTGCATATCCACACCGGGCGAGCTTGAAAAATATGCCCGGCCACGGTGGGATTCGAACCTACGACCTTTGGAATACTAGCGCAATGCTCTTCCAACTGAGCTACGCGGTCAGGACGGTTCGAGTAAGTGATATTTCGGAACAGTATCTAGTTCCTTCAATACCAATGTGTTCTAGTAATATGAATTTTTTCTGTGTTGGTGTTGTGTACTCGGGTGAATTTAATATCTTTGCGATGTTACTCTGAGTGCATATCCACACCGGGCGAGCTTGAAAAATATGCCCGGCCACGGTGGGATTCGAACCTACGACCTTTGGAATACTAGTGCAATGCTCTTCCAACTGAGCTATGCGGTCAGGACGGTTCGAGTAAGTGATATTTCAGAACAGTATCTAGTTCCTTCAATACCAATGTGTTCTAGTAATATGAATTTTTCTGTGTTGGTGTTGTGTACTCAGGTGAATAATATGTTTGTGATGTTACTCTGAGTACATATCCACACCGGGCGAGCTTGAAAAATATGCCCGGCCACGGTGGGATTCGAACCTACGGCCTTTCGAATACTACCCCAATGCTCTTCCAACTGAGCTACGCGGTAAGGACGGTTCGAGTAAGTGATATTTCGGAACAGTATCTAGTTCCTTCAATACCAATGTGCTCTAGTAATATGAATTTTTCTGTGTTGGTGTTGTGTACTCAGGTGAATAATATGTTTGCGATGTTACTCTGAGTGCATATCCACACCGGGCGAGCTTGAAAAATATGCCCGGCCACAGTGGGATTCGAACCTACGACCTTTGGAATACTAGCCCAATGCTCTTCCAACTGAGCTACGCGGTCAGGACGGTTCGAGTAAGTGATATTTCGGAACCGTATCTAGTTCCTTCCATACCAATGTGTTCTTGTAATATGAATTTTTTTTCTGTGTTGGTGTTGTGTACTCAGGTGAATAATATGTTTGCGATGTTACTCTGAGTGCATATCCACACCGGGCGACCTTGAAAAATATGCCCGGCCACGGTAGGATTCGAACCTACGACCTTTGGAATACTAGCCCAATGCTCTTCCAACTGAGCTATGCGGTCAGGACGGTTCGAGTAAGTGATATTTCGGAACAGTATCTGGTTCCTTCAATACCAATATCTTCTAGTAATATGAATTTCTTTTTTCTCTGTGTTGATGTTGTGTACTCAGGTGAATAATATGTTTGCATGTTACTCTGAGTGCATATCCACACCGGGCGAGCTTGAAAATATGCCCGGCCACGGTGGGATTCGAACCTACGACCTTTGGAATACTAGCCCAATGCTCTTCCAGCTGAGCTACGCGGTCAGGACGGTTCGAGTAAGTGATATTTCGGAACAGTATCTAGTTCCTTCAATACCAATATGTTCTACTAATATGATTTTTTTTTTCCTGTGTTGGTGTTGTCTACTCAGGTGAATAATATGTTTGCGATGTTACTCTGGGTGCATATCCACACCGGGCGAGCTTGAAAAATATGCCCGGCCACGGTGGGATTCGAACCTACGACCTTTGGAATACTAGCCCAATGCTCTTCGAACTGAGCTACGCGGTCAGGACGGGTTGAGTAAGTGATATTTCGGAACAGTATCTAGTTCCTTCAATACCAATATGTTCTAGTAATATGAATTTTTTTTTTCTCTGTGTTGGTGTTGTGTACTCAGGTGAATAATATTTTTGCCATGTTACTCTGAGTGCATATCCACACCGGGCAAGCTTGAAAAATATGCCCGGCCACGGTGGGATTCGAACCTACGACCTTGGGAATACTAGCCCAATGCTCTTCCAACTGAGCTACGCGGTCAGGACGGTTCGAGTAAGTGATATTTCGGAACAGTATCTAGTTCCTTCAATACCAATGTGTTCTTGTAATATGAATTTTTTTCTGTGCTGGTGTTGTGTACTCAGGTGAATAATATGTTTGTGATGTTACTCTGAGTGCATATCCACACCGGGCGAGCTTGAAAAATATGCCCGGCCACGGTGGGATTCGAACCTACGACCTTTGGAATACTAGCCCAATGCTCTTCCAACTGAGCTACGCGGTCAGCACGGTTCGAGTAAGTGATATTTCGGAACAGTATCTAGTTGCTTCAATACGAATATGTTCTAGTAATATGAATTTTTTTTTCTGTGTTGGTGTTGTGTACTCAGGTGAATAATATGTTTGCGCTGTTACTCTGAGTGCATATCCACACCGGGCGAGCTTGAAAAATATGCCCGGCCACAGTGGGATTCGAACCTACGACCTTTGGAATACTAGCCCAATGCTCTTCCGACTGAGCTACGCGGTCAGGACGGTTCGAGTAAGTGATATTTCGGAACAGTATCTAGTTCCTTCAATACCAATATGTTCTACTAATATGAATTTTTTTTTCCTGTGTTGGTGTTGTGTACTCAGGTGAATAATATGTTTGCGATGTTACTCTGAGTGCATATCCACACCGGGCGAGCTTGAAAAATATGCCCGGCCACGGTGGGATTCGAACCTACGACCTTTGGAATACTAGCCCAATGCTCTTCCAACTGAGCTACGCGGTCAGGACGGTTCGAGTAAGTGATATTTCGGAACAGTATCTAGTTCCTTCAATACCAATATGTTCTAGTAATATGAATTTTTTTCTGTGTTGGTGTTGTGTACTTAGGTGAATAATATGTTTGCGCTGTTACTCTGAGTGCATATCCACACCGGGCGACCTTGAAAAATATGCCCGGCCACGGTAGGATTCGAACCTACGACCTTTGGAATACTAGCCCAATGCTCTTCCAACTGAGCTACGCAGTCAGGACGGTTCGAGTAAGTGATATTTCGGAACAGTATCTGGTTCCTTCAATACCAATATCTTCTAGTAATATGAATTTTTTTTTTCTCTGTGTTGGTTTTGTGTACTCAGGTGAATAATATGTTTGCCATGTTACTCTGAGTGCATATCCACACCGGGCGAGCTTGAAAATATGCCCGGCCACGGTGGGATTCGAACCTACGACCTTTGGAATACTAGCCCAATGCTCTTCCAACTGAGCTATGCGGTCAGGACGGTTCGAGTAAGTGATATTTCGGCACAGTATCTAGTTCCTTCAATACCAATATGTTGTAGTAATATGAATTTTTTCTTCTCTGTGTTGGTGTTGTGTACTCAGGTGAATAATATGTTTGCGATGTTACTCTGAGTGCATATCCACACCGTGCGAGCTTGAAAAACATGGCCCGGCCACGGCCCGACTCGAACCTACGACCTTTGGAATACTAGCCCAATGCTCTTTCAACTGAGCTATGCGGTCAGGACGGTTCGAGTAAGTGATATTTCGGAACAGTATCTAGTTCCTTCAATACCAATATGTTCTAGTAATATGAATTTTTTTTTTCTGTGTTGGTGTTGTGTACTCAGGTGAATAATATGTTTGCGCTGTTACTCGGAGTGCATATCCACACCGGGCGACCTTGAAAAATATGCCCGGCCACGGTAGGATTCGAACCTACGACCTTTGGAATACTAGCCCAATGCTCTTCCAACTGAGCTACGCGGTCAGGACGGTTCGAGTAAGTGATATTTCGGCACAGTATCTAGTTCCTTCAATACCAATATGTTCTAGTAATATGAATTTTTTTCTTTTCTGTGTTGGTGTTCTGTACTCAGGTGAATAATATGTTTGCGATGTTTCTCTGAGTGCATATCCACACCGGGCTAGCTTGAAAAACATGCCCGGCCACGGCCCGACTCGAACCTACGACCTTTGGAATACTAGCCCAATGCTCTTCCAACTGAGCTACGCGGTGAGGACGGTTCGAGTAAGTGATATTTCGGAACAGTATCTAGTTCCTTCAATACCAATATGTTCTAGTAATATGAATTTTTGTTTCTCGGTGTTGGTGTTGTGTACTCAGGTGAATAATATGTTTGCGATGTTACTCTGAGTGCATATCCACACCGGGCGAGCTTGAAAAATATGCCGGCCACGGTAGGATTCGAACCTACGACCTTTGGAATACTGGCCCAATGCTCTTCCAACTGAGCTACGTGGTCAGGACGGTTCGAGTAAGTGATATTTCGGAACAGTATCTAGTTCCTTCAATACCAATATCTTCTAGTAATATGAATTTTTTTTTCTCTGTGTTGGTTTTGTGTACTCAGGTGAATAATATGTTTGCCATGTTACTCTGAGTGCATATCCACACCGGGCGAGCTTGAAAATATGCCCGGCCACGGTGGGATTCGAACCTACGATCTTTGGAATACTAGCCCAATGCTCTTCCAACTGAGCTATGCGGTCAGGACGGTTCGAGTAAGTGATATTTCGGCACAGTATCTAGTTCCTTCAATACCAATATGTTGTAGTAATATGAATTTTTTCTTCTCTGTGTTGGTGTTGTGTACTCAGGTGAATAATATGTTTGCGATGTTACTCTGTGTGGATATGCACACCGGGCGACCTTGAAAAATATGCCCGGCCACGGTAGGATTCGAACCTACGACCTTTGGAATACTAGCCCAATGCTCTTCCAACTGAGCTACGCGGTCAGGACGGTTCGAGTAAGTGATATTTCGGCACAGTATCTAGTTCCTTCAATACCAATATGTTCTAGTAATATGAATTTTTTTCTTCTCTGTGTTGGTGTTCTGTACTCAGGTGAATAATATGTTTGCCATGTTATCTGAGTGCATATCCACACCGGGCGAGCTTGAAAAACATGCCCGGCAACGGCCCGACTCGAACCTACGACCTTTGGAATACTAGCCCAATGCTCTTCCAACTGACCTATGCGGTCAGGACGGTTCGAGTAAGTGATATTTCGGAACAGTATCTACTTCCTTCAATACCAATATGTTCTAGTAATATGAATTTTTTTTCCTGTGTTGGTGTTGTGTACTCAGGTGAATAATATGTTTGCGATGTTACTCTGAGTGCATATCCACACCGGGCGAGCTTCAAAAATTTGCCCGGCCACGGTAGGATTCGAACCTACGACCTTTGGAATACTAGCCCAATGCTCTTCCAACTGAGCTACGCGGTCAGCATGGTTCAAGTAAGTGATATTTCGGAACAGTATCTAGTTCCTTCAATACCAATATGTTCTAGTAATATGAATTTTTTTTCCTGTGTTGGTGTTGTGTACTCAGGTGAATAATATGTTTGCGATGTTACTCTGAGTGCATACCCACACCGGGCGAGCTTGAAAAATATGCCCGGCCACGGTGGGATTCGAACCTACGACCTTTGGAATACTAGCCCAATGCTCTTCGAACTGAGCTACGCGGTCAGGACGGTTTGAGTAAGTGATATTTCGGAACAGTATCTGGTTCCTTCAATACCAATATGTTCTAGTAATATGAATTTTTTTTTTCTCTGTGTTGGTGTTGTGTACTCAGGGGAATAATATTTTTGCCATGTTACTCTGAATGCATATCCACACCGGGCAAGCTTGAAAAATATGCCCGGCCACGGTGGGATTCGAACCTACGACCTTGGGAATACTAGCCCAATGCTCTTCCAACTGAGCTACGCGGTCAGCATGGTTCGAGTAAGTGATATTTCGGAACAGTATCTAGTTCCTTCAATACCAATATGTTCTAGTAATATGAATTTTCTTTTTCTGTGTTGGTGTTGTGTACTCAGGTGAATAATATGTTTGCGCTGTTACTCTGAGTGCATATCCACACCGGGCGACCTTCAAAAATATGCCCGGCCACGGTAGGATTCGAACCTACGACCTTTGGAATACTAGTCCAATGCTCTTCCAACTGAGCTACGCGGTCAGGACGGTTCGAGTAAGTGATATTTCGGAACAGTATCTAGTTCCTTCAATACCAATATGTTCTAGTAATATGAATTTTTTTTTTCTCTGTGTTGGTGTTGTGTACTCAGATGAATAATATGTTTGCCATGTTACTCTGAGTGCATATCCACACCGGGCGAGCTTGAAAAATATGCCCGGCCACGGTGGGATTCGAACCTGCGACCTTTGGAATACTAGCCCAATGCTCTTCCAACTGAGCTACGCGGTCAGCATGGTTCGAGTAAGTGATATTTCGGAACAGTATCTAGTTCCTTCAATACCAATGTGTTCTTGTAATATGATTTTTTTCTGTGCTGGTGTTGTGTACTCAGGTGAATAATATGTTTGTGATGTTACTCTGAGTGCATATCCACACCGGGCGAGCTTGAAAAATATGCCCGGCCACGGTGGGATTCGAACCTATGACCTTTGGAATACTAGCCCAATGCTCTTCCAACTGAGCTACGCGGTCAGGACGGTTCGAGTAAGTGATATTTCGGAACAGTATCTAGTTCCTTCAATACCAATATGTTCTAGTAATATGAATTTTTTTTTTCTCTGTGTTGGTGTTGTGTACTCAGATGAATAATATGTTTGCCATGTTACTCTGAGTGCATATCCACACCGGGCGAGCTTGAAAAATATGCCCGGCCACGGTGGGATTCGAACCTACGACCTTTGGAATACTAACCCAATGCTCTTCCAACTGAGCTACGCGGTCAGGACGGTTCGAGTAAGTGATATTTCGGAACAGTATCTGGTTCCTTCAATACCAATGTGTTCTTGTAATATGAATTTTTTCTGTGCTGGTGTTGTGTACTCAGGTGAATAATATGTTTGTGATGTTACTCTGAGTGCATATCCACACCGGGCGAGCTTGAAAAATATGCCCGGCCACGGTGGGATTCGAACCTACGACCTTTGGAATACCAGCCCAATGCTCTTCCAACTGAACTACGCGGTCAGGACGGTTCGAGTAAGTGATATTTCGGAACAGTATCTAGTTCCTTCAATACCAATGTGTTCTTGCAATATGAATTTTTTTTTTTTTTTTTATTATTTTTTTTCTGTGTTGGTGTTGTGTACTCAGGTGAATAATATGTTTGCGATGTTACTCTGAGTGCATATCCACACCGGGCGAACTTGAAAAATATGCCCGGCCATGCTGGGATTCGAACCTACGACCTTTGGAATACTAGCCCAATGCTCTTCCAACTGAGCTACCCGGTCAGGACGGTTCGAGTAAGTGATATTTCGGCACAGTATCTAGTTCCTTCAATACCAATATGTTCTACTAATATGAATTTTTTTTTCTCTGTGTTGGTGTTGTGTACTCAGGTGAATAATATGTTTGCCATGTTAATCTGAGTGCATATCCACACCGGGCGAGCTTGAAAAATATGCCCGGCCACGGTGGGATTCGAACCTACGACCTTTGGAATACTAGGCCAATGGTCTTCCAACTGAGCTACGTGGTCAGCACAGTTCGAGTAAGTGATATTTCGGAACAGTATCTAGTTCCTTCAATACCAATATGTTCTAGTAATATGAATTTTTTTTTTCTGTGCTGGTGTTGTGTACTCAGGTGAATAATATGTTTGCGATGTTACTCTGAGTGCATATCCACACCGGGCGAGCTTGAAAAATATGCCCGGCCACGGTGGGATTCGAACCTACGACCTTTTGAATACTAGCCCAATGCTCTTCCAACTGAGCTACGCGGTCAGCACGGTTCGAGTAAGTGATATTTCGGAACAGTATCTAGTTGCTTCAATACGAATATGTTCTAGTAATATGAATTTTTTTTTTCTGTGTTGGTGTTGTGTACTCAGGTGAACAATATGTTTGCGCTGTTACTCTGAGTGCATATCCACACCGGGCGAGCTTGAAAAATATGCCCGGCCACGGTGGGATTCGAACCTACGACCTTTGGAACACTAGCCCAATGCTCTTCCAACTGTGCTACGCGGTCAGGACGGTTCGAGTAAGTGATATTTCGGAACAGTATCTAGTTCCTTCAATACCAATGTGTTCTAGTAATATGAATTTTTTTCTGTGTTGGTGTTGTGTACTCAGGTGAATAATATGTTTGCGATGTTACTCTGAGTGCATATCCACACCGGGCGAGCTTGAAAAATATGCCCGGCCACGGCAGGATTCGAACCTACGACCTTTGGAATACTGGCCCAATGCTCTTCCAACTGAGCT